AGTAACTTACAAGCTACAGGGACACTGATTGTAAAACTACCAGAGAAAAAAGTTCCTTCAATTACACATCTATCCATTAGCCTTACGCATGAGTAGGAATTGTAATCCTAGGAACAATATTGCATCTCCTTGAGGAATCCTTTTAATTGCTTTGGGAAAAAATACAACTAATTGAAGACAGATTTATAGAGTTATCTGGCAAGACTGGGACCGAGTCCAACAGTCCATGATCCCTCTACCGCATTAGCAAAGTTTTCCCATACAGAAGCACTAGAGAATTTCTGTTTCCAATCCAATGCTATCAATAGACATTTATATTTTGGGCAATCATTTAGAAAAGTTATCATACATCAGGTTGTTTCTAACACATATGGTTCAGTATCAACGTTTTACTTCTTGTTCTCTGATCTTCTCTATTTCTGTTCTTCCTGAAGCCACATATTGCACTGTTAATATAAAAAAACAGTTCCAAAAGAAGCAAACCAGCCTCATGCCCCTTGGCAAACAGCCACCTCTGAACCTGCCATTTGTTGTAACTATGAGTTTACTTAAGGTCAGATCATAACATTTTAAAATGAACTCACGTATTTTCTGAAAAGCACATTACCAGGTAAAAAATTGCAACTCAGAAAAAGTCACCAATAACTTAAACATTTCATGAGGCTTATTAAATAAAATCTAACTTTACAGTCGTGTAAGCAGCAGAGATCCTTATAATGAATGGGCAGAATACACTACAGCAGATCAGAAATTATAAAACTAAATTAGAAACTCTAATCTCATTTGCTATAAAAACAAACAGCTCTTTGTTCTTGAAAAGGAAGTTACTAAGATAATGCAATGAATCACCCTTCTGCAGTCAATTTCTGATGCTTAATCCCTTCTATATTTCTATTAGCTAATTATACATGCATCATACATTTCAGCATTATGTGAAAAAGTATCATTAACATTTCATCTCACAACTTTATGAAGCTGAAATTACTCAAAACTACCCTTCCTCCATATAGTAGACATCTAGCTAAGAGCTAAAATTCCATGCCACATTTCAAAAAAGAGTAGGGAACATATTAACTTCTTTCTCTTAAATGATTACATTCCAAGATTCAAAGTTGTATGCCAGTGATGACCCTACCTGAATTTGATGACAATAGATACTCCTGTGGCTTGCTAAAGCACTGTGCTAATTACATACACCCACAACATCTCTGCCTGTCATTTTACCTCCATGGCAGCTGTACTGGGTCTGGCTGAGATGGCGCTAACTTTCTTCTTGCGAGTTTACAGTGCTGTGGTCTACATTTACACCAAAAACAGTGATGACAACACACTGGTGTTTTAGCTAATGCTGAACAGTGTTGTATAGCATCAAGGCCTTCTCTGTTTCTTATTCTGTGCCCTCCCCAGTAGTGAACAGAAGTTGGGATGGGATAAAACCAGGTAAATGATTCAAACTAACCAAAGAGATGCTCTATGTCATATAACGTCATGCTCAGCAATAAAACAGACAGGAGGGAGTGAGTGCTTCCTCTGTCACTTAAATGGAATAAGCAGTGCTCTCTGAACAGAAGAACTTGAATTTCAGATAAAATAGTAATGTAAGGCTCTCAGCAGCCTAGTTTGTACCAGAGAGTCAAGAGTTAATTTACTGTAGCATCAATACAGTAGTGAAACTGTATGACGGTGCTAGTGCATAAATTATATCTGCTGTTGCAGCTCTTTTTCCAAAGTGTTGGCAATATTGATCACGAAACAGAAATAAACATTTTTGCATTGAACATCAAAGTCAATAGAATAAAAACTGGGTCTGAGGCTAGGTATTTTGTATAAACAAGCCCCACTTTTTTCTAGACAGCACCTATCTCTCAACTTTATGAACTGCTAAAATTTGGAGAAAAGAACTTTTCTTCTCCTTCATAGAGCATCTAGAGTTTGCCTGTGAGGCAGAGGAGAAAGGTATCTTGGCATAATTTTCATTGTTCAGGTTAGATTTTTTTTTCACACTGAGATTTTCAAATAAGCTTTCGAGCCTTAACTGAAAAAAAATATTCCAAACAGTCACAAGTGGTTCTTATGCCCTAATTACATTGCTTTCTCAGTTTCTCACCCATCAGAAGACACACATCTCTTTTCATACATAAGGGGAAGGAGAACGTCAGTGACTGAGTGTGACATTGTTAACAAGAGAATTTAATTGAGAAACATTTTTGCATCTCACATTAGGTGTGACTTAGTTATGTGATACATTCATGGGTGACAGGAAAATTATGCCTTACATCTGTAGAGATGTGTAAATGCCTCATTAAGTTTAATAATTATCTGTTACAAGGGTAGCTCCACAAGAAAATCTCTGCTACTGAAAAACAGAAGGGACACAATGAAACAACATTGCAATTATATCGTCACTGACCTTGCTGAATTAATTCACCTGTCCAGAAATATTTTTATCAACACATTAATAATGAATGTTATACTGTAAAAAATGCATGAATAGGTTGCACCCTGAAAATGTTATCAAGTAGCCCATGAAATTAGACACAGCCTGTATTTTCAGTTTTGAGCTCAATTCAACCTGAATTTGTACGTTAATTCACATATGACAGAGGGAGAAAGCAGAAGGTAGAAAAGAAAGGACATTGCTATGAAACATGACACATAAAAGGAAACTTTTCAAGAACAACTTCTTCTCAATCAAAAAACTGCAAGTATCATCTTCGACAGACAAAAATCAATAGCATATGACTGATCCCACAGTGTTCTCTATAGCTAAAAAACAAAACAAAAAACCCACCACCTCTTGGATGTGGCAGAAGGCAAATTATCCCAACAACAAAAAGCTCTCAAGGAAAGCTATACTATCCCATTTATATTGACAGCTCGGTTTTACAGCTAAACAAGGATTATACAAATCTGGGAAACCAAAACGGAACATTATCAACTTCTGCTCACAATGAGAAGGGAGTTACACAAACGAAGCACAATGTTCATGCTAGCCAATTTGACACGTACCATTAAACAAAAAAATTAATCCGTTTATTATATTTAACATATTTACAAAATAGTACAAATTAAAGTACTGTAACTCCATTATTGCATGACAACAAAACCTCCATATAGGCAAAAGCAGCACATGAAAGAGACACTCCAGAATATTTAGGAAGTCTTTGGTACTCAAAATATAGTTTAAGATGCAGCATTAACTCAATCAATACAAGGCATTAAACACAGACAATGACATGTAGATTTATGCCACAAAAAGTAAGTTTAGCTATGGCTTTCACCCTTCTCAAAGGCTGATTACTGGACTCAGGAATTGCTTCAAAGATTCACAGCAACTTTAAGATGGTGAGGCTACTCAAAATTATTCTAAAACCAAGGTGTTGAAAATTAGACTTCTCAACTCATATTGAATTAAACTGCCTCTTCTCGGAACTGTATGATAGCAAAGGACTAAACACTTCACAGGCCTAGAGCTTATTCCTCTACTCCTTGAGCAGGCAAAACCGTGAAAGGATCAACTTTGTCCACTTAAGGAATATAGGATCAAGCTCAGAACAGACAATAAAACCGCATGGCAAAACACGATCAAAGACAGTATACCCTAGTCTACACTGCTGTATACATCACTTACAAAATATGTTTTATGTATAATCTACATATTTACAAACACTCTCAATTGTTCCATCAAGTAATGTACTCAATGCAATCACAGTTTACATCATTTTGAGGTAAATCCTTGAAAAGTTAGAGCATCAGCAGAGTTTCATCTGCAAGGCTGAATCTTCTAAGTGGAGGATTTCTAATTAGAAGATCCTCTCTTTCACCTGGTCACACAGCAGCCTATGCTAGGTGTAGCAGATTGGTAAGATGGTTACAGAGACGAAGGAGATAATTTTGAATCCTCTGTGCTGTGCTTGGTTCTTCCTGATGGCCAGGAGGCCAGAAAGAAGCAAAGAACTGGGAACAGCCAAAAGAACCCCAAATATATACTAGCAGATTCTGCTCTGTGGATGAACAGTGGATATTATGTCACTTGTAGAGTGGGAAAAACTGTGGTGGTAAATCGAGCAGTGTCTATGCACACTAATTGCAAGATGCCTATGTGAAAAGAGGACAGGGAAAAGCAAGAGAGGATGTGAGACAGGATGAGTTCATTTTGTTGATTGGTCAATGTTATCCTAGAAAGGAAATACATTCTTAGCTTTATTTTCTTAAGTTTTCAAGCCAGGTTAGACTATCTGAATATTTGAAACTACACACCTGGACATCATCCACATTTATTTTAGCTTATAACTACAGCACTTCTGATCTTCCATAAATACATTGCCTCACCAAGGAGTGGACACCACTTTACAAGGCTTGATATTTCAAGCTAGCTAACCTAGGTATGTTTTCCTTGGGGATGTTCATAACACTGCAACAAGACCACTCATTCTTTGAGTATCCCAGGGAACAAGAGAAGAAAGGTCCCAAAGAAGTTGGCAAGTTCCCTTTGCATTACATTATAAGAGTGCAAAAGGTGACAGAAACTCCAGTGTAACTAGGAAAAGACAGCTTAGAGTTGGAAGCATCATAGTTCATTTGAATCAATCTAAAAATTAAGATAAATAATTTTGTTCTTCAGAAGTTACAGCATCTTGCATTAGTATATTCTCCTACAAAATAGGTCTACAATATTATTTAACCTTAATGCTGAAAGTTTTAAAACTCATCTTGTCATGACCATCCTCAGTTGCACTTCTGTGGTCAGCTGCTTAAACGAAGAAACCTGACACAAAAAGACTTGGGATGACAAAGGAAAGATCCCACAATTCCACTTTGTGGATGCTTTTTCAAGCAACACCACATAACTACACCTTTTTAAAGTGTTGTCTTTAAACTAATTGTAGAAGATTTAGGCTAGACCCCAAAGTAGCCAGTTAACTATATATGTGTGAATGATACTCATCTTTACTACATTCATGTTTCCTTCAGAATGTTTTTGAAAACTTAAAACTGTAAGGTGATAAGTAAAGTAGTTTGATGTTTCAAGACAAGTCTACTGACTATACTTTATGCCCACTGGAATGACTGAACTCTGCTTTCTGCATGCAGTGATAAGGAATAATAAACCTTCATCTCATTGTACCATCAGAGATATTAGCTAGAAGAAAAGAGACTTATTAAATATTCAGCCATAGCTAGTATTCATGGTGTAGTACAGGCTGAAATGAAAAAGAGCATAAAGAAATATGTTTTCCAGAGATCTTCCAGGAAGGTGAAGGTTGGACCTTGTACTGATCCCCAGTGATGACAAACCAGCAGGTTGTTTCTTGCACAGCTCTGGGCAAGGTAATAATCTGTCAGCACAAATGTGTGTACAAATCCCAACATTAAGACTGGAAGGTTCAGACAGACAAAAACACTGCTGTTTAAATACTTAACAAAACCAATAACACTTTGAAGATACTAAATTTTTTAAATCCCTGAAACTGCTGGTCAGCAGAGGAAAGTTTTTAATTCATTCGTCCTCTTCAACATAAGTTGATGGAAACCAGCCCACCTAAAAAAGAAAAAAAGCAGAACAAAATAATACATGAGACACACAATTTTTTTTAAATGGCTGAACTATGCAATACAAGGTTGAGTCTGTTTAGTAAATATAAGAATAACAAAGGTAAACTTCTTGACTGACCAGCTACAGTGAGAGAAAGTACCCTAAATAAAAGAATAACCTGCAAATATGATGATTTGAAGACTTAATCTGCTCCTTGCCCCACCTCCCGCCTCCCCCCCCCAAAAAAAAAAACACCAACCCTTAGCCCAAATTGGAAGTCTAAGCTTTCAGAAAAATGGCTAGAAATGTCAAAAGCAGAAGTAGTTTTACTACAGGCAGCAGTATGCTGTTATTTTTTGAATGAGCAGTTAAATATTTAACAGGCTTCAGTCAGGTCCAGGGAATCCTCTTACAAAGGAAATAGTGACTGATTTGATTGCATTACATGGAGTTAAATCCCGTTGCCACCAACAGGGGTTTTAAATAAGACAGAACTGGAAGGCAGAGTCCAGTGTTTTACACTTCATAAATTATAATGCTATCTCCATTCTGAAATTAATGATGTGTCAAATAAGGATTATACAAGACAGAGATGCAATGTCATATTTCTCATTCTTATCTATTTGCTTTAAGTTTTTCACTCAGACTTCTTAATACTTAAGTCAATTTAACACTCATGAAAGTCCTCAAAACCAAACCTAGAACATGACTGAAAGGAGTAACTGCATAAATTTTGTTTTAGACTACCTTGCCAAAATACATCCAGAGGTGAGCTTATGATCTGAAGTCCAGGCTGTGAAAGCCATCAGAAAGAATGCTTGTATCTAACAGGGTGTCCCTTTAGGTTGTAAGTAGTTGCATTACAAAGAGATGCTCAGCTGTCTTCACATGTAAAATGTGTATAGGATGACCGCTATTTCTTCTGCTTCCCTATTTCTTCTTGACTAATTGATCACTTCCCTTTAAGATCATAACCAGGCTCAAGCACATAAAAAAAAAATAAGTTCTCCAGATGGCATAAAACAGTAAATCTGGACATCTACTTCAACCAGACTTGCAACTTTCACTTCCAGCTTCCAGTCAATCTACTTTCTTCTACCTCACATTCTTTGCCCCTGCATTTCAGCCCTTTAGACATGGAAACAGCAGCCTCAAATAATTTTTATTTATCTACATTAAACAGCAGTATACTAAGATTGAAACAATATAGCCTTTATAGGTCAAAACAAACTTTGCTTTGACACAAATCTCAGAGCGTAGCATAAAGTGACTTTGTAAAAATCCCTGCTAAATATGCCACTTCATCCAACCCACAGATTTAGAGATCAAAACAGCAGTCTCCTATAAAAAAAAGGTGGCTGAGTCCATTGTAGTATAGTCTGGCAGAAAGGTGTGGAAATCATTCTATGCGAAACTGCTGAACAGACTTCCACAGCACCAGGAACCTGAGCTTTTGACCTCAAATACATATGTGCAACACAGTTCAAGAAAGTTCAGCTGTAACTGTACTATTAATCCTGGTTATTTTCCAACCATATAATCTTGCCCAAATATTCAGCCTGGTAGGTCACATTAAATAACCAATTAATTTAGATGCTGGGAAAGCTGCCTGGCAAGAGTTCTGCCTAGCTCCTGTGAAACAGAGATGAGAACATGTTGTATCTTGTGAATTTAAAAATGCAAAGAAGGTTTATGATGTAGGAACACACCTTGTTTTTTCACAAAATCCTTGTCAGTGAAGGCAGAAATGAGACAAAGAAGGAAAAATAAAAACACCTTACCCTTCCATTTACTTCACCTCTCCACCAGCCATTCGCACTCATCTTTGTATAAATTTTTACAACGTCTCCTTTCAATAAGGACAGTTCTCTCATGTCCCTTGCACAGAAGTCATACCTGGCTATGGCAATGCCTATCACCTTCGGGCTTAGCACTGAAATGAAACAGACATTGATATTATTAAGGTTTGTTAATTGAAGGCTACTCAAGTCATGTAAATAGCAGTACCGCAAAATATAAAACACTGATTTCACAACAACAAACACTAGCATTAATTTTATGCAAACGTGAAAGCATCTGCACTACACAGATCAAGAAGGGTTAAACAGGTGAATGGTGTAAAAGTTGAAGGGATTTTATATTATTTTTTTTAATAGTACTCTTTGTTTTTAGAAAAAAGTCCAACCAGATGAACTAAAAATAAAATATCTCCCACTCCAAAATTGCTAAATACATTTTCAATTATTGTATTTTTGTGCTTCATAATCAAACATGCTGCCAGATACACGCATCAACATATTTTACAGGTCGCTAGTTTCTTTCCAGACGAATTATTAGCATTTACAGTTGATTTAACTTTAAACCTCTAATGAAGCAAAACAAACAGAATAAGGCGCTGTTCTTTCAAAAACAACTACCAAGTTAAATATTAACACACTTAAAATTGGAACCCAACATCAGCATGCACAGAAAAGTAGAGTTTCCACAAGAAATTTGTATGGATCATTTGTTACAATCTACATGAACACTGGCTGACGTATATCTACTGTTTTCAGTAGTTTATTCTGTAAACCACCAATTAATTTGCTCTACAAAACTTTTCATGAAAATATTTTCCTAAGTTTCAATGAAATTAATACTTAAAATTTTTAAGCTACATCAGTATGTAAGCATTTTGCCAATGTAAAGCCCAAACATTTTAAGCAATAAAAAGTTGTGAAATATTTTTAAAAAGCAAATGTGAAAAAAAAAATTCCAAACTTGCAAAAGAAACCCTTGACTCTTCCAATGAGAGGAAAGTGGGCATAGCACCTAAGAGGTAAAGGCCCTTGGCTTGAGCAGTTTAGAAGAAATATCTACTCTTCTACTGCATTTTGTAGTTTGATTATTTGGCCAAAGCATGATTTTTTTTTTTTTGCCATTAATATCATTTTCTTTCGCAGTTATTTTCCTATGTAAGTCACTATAGAATTTATGAGCACAACCAAGCTTCTTACTAAAATGATTTCAGAAGAATTTAGCGTATGATCATGATGGATTACTTGATATAATGTACATATAATCCTCTGTTTTCTGAGAACTCTTTCCAATTTTCTTAGAAATTCCCGATCATCTTTAGGAAATACCATTAAGATTCTAGTTTTAGCAATGCCTTCAACATTGTAATACTAAAAGTTCATAGCTAGTTGCCTTTAATTTACATCAGGAACACAAAACACGGCAAATGAGTTAGAAAATTTTGACAGTTTCAGCTCTGCTTGTATTTAAGATTTCTTCCGACCCCACTGGGGACATTTTTAGAAACAGAGGCTTTTGCATAATAGTATTAAATATATTAAAATCATTATATATATATCTCAAGTCTTTTTAGCTTATAGAACACAATATAAACAATTTATTTTAAAATAACAACAAATACTATGTTTAAATTATTACTAGATCTATCACAAAAACGGAATGCATAAAAAACTGTTTTGGCAACAGATTATGTCCTCTTTTATTTCATGCCATTAAAGTTTAGTCCAACATTTCAGACTGCTTATGTAGAGTGTGTTTATCAGGTACTTGATACAAGATGTACAGGATGCCATATAAAAGAGAATCAGCATCTCAATGTATTGGTTATATTTACAATATGAAGATATTGTAAAAATCTAGGTGATACAAAAGTATATTAAAGTCCAAACATACTTTTTCCCCTCTAAGTCAGTCACATGTAGACGTTATTTGTTTAGATCCTGACATGAATGTTATGTCCTATACCTTATCAGGATTTCAGTAATCAATTTTACAGGGAAAGGGCACATCATGGTCAGCAATTGTTTTGGAGAAAGAAAAACAAAAAGAGCAGTTATTGACTGTATGGTCATTAACCATTTACAGGCATGCAGCAAATCACCGGCAGATTTGGAGAAGCATCGCAGGATGGACGGAATGATTCTGGGGAGACGGGTATCATTTCAGATTCCAGAAAGGAGATAAAGGGGCAAGGAAGAAGATTACATGAGGCAAAGACAAACAAATTCAGGAAAACATGGAAGAAAATAACTGAGGGGGGAAGAAACACATAGAAGAATAATTAAGAGGGAAAATATTGAGGAAAATTTGGACAGAAAAAAAAAAAAGAGGGGCAGAACTGGGAGAAAGGAGGACTTCTAACTCTTTTTCAAGTTGTGAATCCAGAGAGGAAAAGGAGAAAGAAGCAAGAGAAATCAAAACCATGTATCTCCAAAAGTCTTGAGACAGAAGGAGAATTTAGATTAATTTAGACTACAATATCCATATTTTTCAAATAAAAGTGATGTTCATGTTAGGAAATATATAAAAAGAAGCCAGATAAGTGATAGAATACAGGAAAATGATGGTGCTAATCTTGGAAAAAATATTAGCCATATCTCTCGGGTGACTGTCACAAAGACAACTCGAGTAAAGACTATCAGCTCTGAATTCCCAATCAGAGCTGTCGCAGGATAAACGCAACTTGAGTGAAGACAGTCAGCAAGTGGAAAGGACATCTGTATAGATAAAAGAGAGGAAAAACACGGAGTGAAGGAGAGAAAGAGGGAGGGAGAATGAAGAAGGGGAGAGAGAGAGAACGGGATTAACAGCAGAGATTGATGAATTGCCCGACAGGAGAATGTGAATAGTGGAGAGGGAGGGGGGGGGGGGGGGGGGGTGTGCGGAAAAAGCAAGGGAAAAGGAAAGAAGCTATTTAGAAAGCAGTAATAAGTAAACCTTGTGTATTAGGAGGGAGACTCTCAGAGGTTTAACAAGAAATAGAGCGAGAAATCTGAGTGAGGTGAATAAAAGGTACATGTGTGAATAAGAAAAATATTCTTTTGCTTAACCTAGTCTTTCTTTCCACAAATGGAAGAAGAAAAGACAGGGAACTACAGTCAACTTTGATTCACACTAGAGTAAGTTGGAAAGGTTTTTCATTGACAGTGAGATACACGCATGGCAAATAAATTTTAATACTAGTTTGGGCCACTGATGAAGGAACAGGGGTGCAAACAAAAGAGGCTCTATGCGATGAAAGTAGGCTGGTCTACCTCACTTTTCTGCCTGTGCTTAAATTCCACAAGGGTCAACATATCATTATAAAAGCTGTGAGTACTTGTTTCTCTCTCATTGTGGCATGGCCTCCTTCATAATTGTGCAGCCGTATCACCTAAGGATTGCTCTTGTGCATTAGTTTCCACGCTCCTTGAAGCAATGTACATTTACTTGCAGTTTAACCAAACCTCAGTTCTATTAGACAAGCATGGGCAGCACCTCCAGTAGTGCTCAGCAGTCGTCTTAACCCTTCTCTTGTGTTACCAACTTCCACATCAGCAGAACTAAGCCAGCTCTGAAGACCCTTTTGAAAAAAATACTTTTAAGATCATACGTCCTGGTTTTGACTGGGACAGAGTTCGTTCTTTTTTAGCAGCCAGAAGAGCTTCACGTTTTGGTTTTAGCCTGGGATTTGTTACAAGAAGAATGTTGATAGAGCACTGATGTTTACAGTTAGCACTGAGACCTCAAGGACTTTTCAGCTTGCCATGTTCTTGCCAGTGTGCAGGAGCACAACAGGCTGGTGGGGAGCACAGCTGGGACAAAGGGTCCACAACTCCCCTTATGATTTGAACTTAGACTTAGGACTGAGGGCCAAATTGGCCAATGGAGTATTTCGTATCATGCAACGTCATGCCCAGTATCTAGATGAGGGCTGACCAGAAAGAAGGGCTTTTGGCTCTTCCGGGACTCTGTTCTGAGAGTTCTCTCTCGGACTCTTGGAGTGCTCTCTCTCTCATTCTCTTTTCAGGCATCTCACTTATCCAGGATTGTGGTGCTGGGACTAATCTGTTTCGGGATCGCTAACCGGGACAGAATAGGCATTGATCACCAAGTGGTAAGCAATTATACTGTGCATCACTCATTTGTATATATTATCATACATATATTTTTAATATATTATTAAATTGTTCTTATCTCAACCCATGAATCTCCTTCCCTTTCCCCCTTTAATTCTCTTCCCCATTCCCTGGATTGGTGGAGGGTGAGCGAGTGGCTGTGTGGCATCTAGTTGCCAGCTGGGCTAAATCACAACATCATGAAATAAGTATTTGTTCATTTAATGTAAGCAAATTTTTGGCTATTTTAAAAAAAGATGGGTTTACTAAGAACATATGATGTAGCCTATCTATCAGAATATGAAATCCCATTCAAACCAGGTAGATAAATTAAGAATTACTAATCTGTATTTTCCTTTAATATTCTATACTTGTATAAAAAAATACTTTACACAGCAGATTGTGATAGGCGAGACGTTGAATCCTTCCTTACTTTTACAGTTAATTAAGAATTTTTTGATAAATCAGTTTTTCATAGTAAAAAAGGAACAAAATGATAATTTGTTGAAACCATATATGGGAATATATGGAAATGTGCAATAGGCTTAAAGTAACCCCAAGTCTTGATTGCCGTTCTGTCAACCATAGGCCACTTCACAATTTTGTTTTCATGGAACAAACACCAGTTTCAGTAAGAATGGACTTCATAATCGAGTACTGTGAAGCTGAATGGAAGAGGTCACCTTCTATCCTCACCTAAAAAGACAGAAGCTCACAGTATTTACTTAAAATAAAGAGCCAAAACTTAACTTCTTTGTGTTCTCCAATTCAAATGAGGCAAGTGCTTCAAACATTTCAGCTGAATGTCATGACTATAGGGTAAACAGCTACACCAGAATGGCTTTCTATTCATCATTTCTACAGATGTGTACTTTATATAAGTAAATGTCAACTGGAAGAGTGCCTTAAAGCTTGGATTCCCAGTCAACTTTGTGACTACTGAAAGGAAGTAAAAGTACCTGCCCCCCAAAAAATCTTGCATGTAAGGAGATGGAAATGGAAGAAATAGACTCCAAAACAGTGAACAACTGAGGGGCAA